ATAATTTTAATTAAAAGAAGATAATATTTATGTATTTAAATTAAAAAAGTAAAAATTTACTATTATATACTTCAAAAATCAAAAAAAATTTAGATAATATTGTGAGATACTCAGATATATAGTTTACTGATATATTCAGTAGGGATTATTTTTTTTTTTGTTTAATTTAAAAATTCAAAAAATTTAAAAAGTAAAAGTTTACTATTTGATTTAAAATTTCAAAAAATTTATTTCAAATAAAAAAATGATAAATTCATATTTTTATTTAACCCATTTTTGTTCATTTGAGAATTCACCAAAATTTCAAATTTATCCGAATAGAACACTAGTCATTATTTGTGCGGATGCAAAATATTTCATTCAAAATCAATGGATTCCCTTATCATTCTTTGTAATTTTCTTTCTTAAAAAAAAAACAGGAGGTCGAAGATGCAAATAATTTCATTTAAAATCAAACAGAATACAAAGAAAGGGAAACTGTCACAAAGAAATTGAAAAAAAAGAAAAAAAAACCCTACTGTATCTCTCAATATCTCATCCTCATCATAACCATCAACATGATCCATACCATACTCATCACCTGAATTCAAATCTACAGCCAAAGCCCCATTGTCATCGTCCTTTGAATCTGACTCAAAGCCAACCAGCCTAACACTTTCCCTGTGGGGTTCAAGTTTGACTTCAACCCCACCAACAGTGGAGGCAGCCCCGCTGGAAGCCAAACCTAAAAGGCTGAAACCCTCCTCTCAACCCTCCTCTCCACAGGGAAATCATCATCATCACCACCAACATCTACCTCAACATCACTGCCACCAATAGTTTCAACAACAAAAACAGAATTACCATAGTGTGTCTCTACAGAACCAAACCCTAACCCTAAATTTAACTCCAAATCATCCATATCCAATTCATGGGTTCCATCAATAACATCGAAACCCATATCAGTTAATGCATCGGGGACCAAATCAACAGGTTCTTGTTTTGATTGCTAGTGTTACCATCAGAAATAGACCAAATCAATACCTGGGATTGCTCGACACGCTGGGGCAGGAGATTGATGACGAAATTGACTTGGTTCCCCCGGTCATCAAGGAGATCAAGGCCGTTGTCGATGACGAGCGCATTCGGAAATGAGAATTCATCGGGATCGGAGGAGAAGAAATGGAATTCATGGGACCAGTAGGGAATGGGATCTAGGGTGAGGGTTTGATCAGGGCGAGAGTGATGGTGGGCGACGACGTCGTCGTCGGGGTTGTGGAAGTGGAGATGGAGACAGAGACGAATCGTGGTGATGGTTATGATGATGAAGATGATGATGGGCCAACGAGACAAGGTGGCAAAAATAAAAATAAAAAAAAGGCCTAACCGGGTGTGACCGTTTGCACTTAACAGTCAATAAACAGAACCATTAGTTTAATTGGACGGAGGGACGACAAGTGCATGCTTTTGCATTGTACAGGGATGACAGGCATAGTTAATTGATAGTAGAGGGGCGACATGAAGCCAATCCATAGTAGAAGGTTTAGAATGCACTATTTTGGATAGTAGAGGGACAATAGATGGCCTTAACCCGCCAAGAGAATAACTAGCTGCGGTCATGGTGACGATATCTTTTTTCCAAAGTCACTGAAATAGTATTACAGGGTTTCTTAACACCCTTCCTATTGCCTCCAGGCAATCCGCCCGAGAAAGTTCTCAATAGATGGCCTTAACCCGCCAAGAGAATAACTAGCTGCGGTCATGGTGACGATATCTTTTTTCCAAAGTCACTGAAATAGTATTAAAAATATTAATTTAATTTAATTTAATTTAATTATCAATAATAATTAATAGCTAATAAAATACTTAATATTTATTAATATTTAATAAATTAAAATTAATTTATAAATTAATACTTTTAAATATCATAATTATCTATTTAAGAAAAAAATACAAATATCAATTAAATGAAATACAATTTTAGTACCCTTAACAAATGAGATGCTGACTATAACACACCTAGAAATACTAGTAGATATGAATTCCCTCTATTTTAAAATAATAGATATTATTTAATTTTACTTTATTAAAGATTTAGATATTCTATTTTTGTTTATTTTAGCTTTAAAAATAAAAACAAATCAAAATTTTTATAGTATGAATAATTAAAGGAAAGAGATAATGATTTAATTAAGATAGGGAAAAAATAAGTTAAATGTCATTTTTAATTCCTAAACTTTTAACATTGAACATTTTTAGTTCTTGAATAATTTTTTGTACCTTTTTTCATTATTAAACTATGAAAAATATATTTTTTTAATTCTTCCCTCAATTACTTTTTAAATCTATGCATATATTATAAATTTAAAGATTAAAAAAGTGTAAACATAGGCAAACTTAATCGACTAACTTATGGAGGAATTAAAAAATACATTTTTTGTATTCTAGAACAAAAAAGTGTAAAAATGATTCACAAACTAAAAATATTCAAAATTAAAAATTTAAGAAATAAAAATAGCATCTAACCAAAAAATATTTATTTTCCTTAAAATATGAAGAAATGACTATTATTCTAAAACAAATTTTAAATTAAAAAACATCTATTAGGACAAAATGAGTTATTGGCATTTTTTTAAATTTTATAAAATGAAGGTTTAAAAACAATTTATATTTTCACTTATACTACAACTAGAAAAAGAAATAAAGA